AATTCCAAAATTTTGAGTCCCTTCAAATCCCGGAATATGTATCTAGGTAAGGTTCGAAGATAGTTTCGTTCCAAATTGATATTAATTAGCGAAGTACATCCCCAGAAGAGATCTTCCGGTAGCGTGACAAATCCGTTCCTTTTCAATTTCAACATCTCCAGTTTCGTTAAATTAGCGAAAAATGCATCTGGCAAGGTTGTCATATTTCGCTTGTTGTCAAACAGAGTGAAATTGCGTAGTTTCGTGTTATTTTGTAACAGATTCTTCGGTAAATTTGTGAAATTGTTTCGAGATAAGTTGAGAACCTCGAGGTTTTCGAGCTTCGCGAAGATGTCTTCCGGTAACTTGACCATGTAATTCATATTGAGATCGAGGCTCTTGAGAGCGACGAGCTCGTCGAAAATTCCCGATCGAGGCTCGGTTAAATGATTTTTCCATAAGTTGAGAAACGTCAGATTTTTCAGATTGTCGAATGTGCCTGGTTCTATCGATTGCAGAGCATTGTCACCCAATTCGAGCAACTGCAGTCCGGGGGTGTAGTTGAAAAATCCTGTAACTTGGTGTAAATTGTTGTCGCGCAAGTTGAGGTTCGTTAAGTTGACTAGACCAGCTAATAGATCTTTATCTGCATAGGACACATTGTTGCTCGTTAAGGACAGTGACTTCAAATTTTCGAAGTCATCCAAATGATGCTTGACCAGGGCGAAGCTCAAATTCTTGTACGATTGAAAGACCAATTTTTCCACGCCGGTGATTCCTATCGTTTGCGTGATTTTGCCTAAACTGTTGTTAGTCGGTAAATCACACCTGGAGAAGAACATCGTTTTGATAGTCTTAAATTCCGGCAAGGACGACACGTCCAAGTGGAAATCTGACCATTCCGGAGAATTAATGCATACGATCTGTGTAAAAAAGAAAACACCCACTGATGCAAATTTGATTCATTAAAAAAAAAGAGTATAAAAAATTTATGAAAATATTTTAGGATAACGCAGAGATTTTCTATGTTTTTTAAAAATTTTTAAATGGTATTATAGTTCCAAATATTTTTCTGAAAAAATTAAAAAACGAGGACAGAATAGAAAATATATCAGATAATCAGATGACGAATATTCATAAATTTATATATTCATTCTTAAATTTTTTATATTTGTTTCTGTAGAATGATTGATTAAAGAAAAAATTAAAGAATGAGAGATTCCATCAAATATTAAAAAGAATGATGAGTTACGAAGAATTTATCATCTCTATTTTATAATATTGCTGGCTAAGAATCAATTTGTGGTCTATTCCAAATTTTTTAGTACATCGGGTAATTCAGAACACTCGTGCCAGTCGTTTTTGAATGTCGTCAAAATTACAGCGCAGCCAAACCAACTGCCAAACTGAACCGAACCATGTTCGAAGAACCATCATCGATGATTACTTTAGGTGCCCGTTAGTAATGCAAATTTTTTTCCTTCCTGTCACGTCATATAAAAAAAAGGCTGGCATGGGTTCTCTGAATCACCCGGTCTTTGAATATAAAGGTCTTGGAATGGCTGGGACGAATAATTTAATTTTTCGCATAGATCTCTGTAACTGTGTCTTAATAAATGCAAAACGCTCGTAACTAGTAGAGACGTACTTTTATAAATTGGCCTTGTTGAATGTTCACGAGAAACGAGGAGTCATTCTTCGTTATACAGTTTATCTCGATTCCTCCATCGACACTCGGAGCACAGTTGCATGACTGATTTGTTGGGCAATGTAAAGTGGAAACGCTGCCCAGAGCAATAGCCAATATGGCAAATGCTTCACGAGTGATCATCTTGTGTTTAGTCTGATCCTCAGATATCTGTTTAAACAAACATAAACACACATTTTTTATTGTTGTACATTATTTTATTAATTACTTATTCTATTACAGTTGAAGGGTACAGGGGAAAACCGATCAATGTCCCTCCGGGATAATTTCGAGAAAAACGCATTTTTAAGTTTCAAGACATCAGATATTTTAGGAAACTATTGAAAAAAAAATACTGGCAGTGAATATCGGAATGCATAGTGTATTTACTTACAAAGAGAACTTACGGGCTGCGAAACGCAGATATGAATCATACGTTAACAGTTTGTAAGAGATTCCCTGAGTGTGTACCTAAAATATTATTGGCTATTCGCCAGCTATTCAAGAATTACTAACAAAAAAATATTTTAGCTTCGTATATACCATTGTTGTAAGACCGAATTCCGCAGCCCCCAAGTTCTCCTTGTTAGTGTTTACGTCTGACTCTGATGGTTCTTCACAAGCGCGTGAATTAGGATCGTTTTTCCCTAGCGTGGTACATCTTTCGGACTTATTTCGAATGACTTGTAACTGTTCTTGATCAAAACAGATAAGAATTATAAAAGTTCTTTGAAAATACCACGAGATAGCATTAGATCAATTTCGATAAAAAGTGGACTTTGATCGTTTTTCCTCTGTACCCTTCAATTATTTTATTATAATTATTAATATTATTTTCTTTCGATATTAATTTATTCTCTTGCAAATATCAAGCAAAACACTCAAAATTGGAAGTATCGTGGCTTAGATAAATGTAACACTTCCTCTTTTTGAGATAAGCTTGTTGCTTGCTTTTACAATTGCCAATACTCTCATATATTACACATTTATTTCTTATATATTTATTCATATTGTATAAAATTTTTTAAAAATCTGTATTTGTAATTAAAATATGAATTTATGTGCAAGCATACATAAATTTCTCTTGTACATAAGAAAAAGTATATTTTGTTTTGTATCAAATTTTATTTATGGCTATGCTTTTTATTTTATTTGATATTGTGATACGTAAAAAAATATATAGCAGAGTATAGCAACGAGAATAACCTGTATCTTTCTACATATTTTTATTTAATTACGAAAATTTAATCGCTTGTAGTTCATGAGGTATTGCAGCTCGATCTCTGATTTAAATTCTACAATTATAATGTTATATTGTGATAGCTACTGGACGACTCGTATAAAAACTATAAATTTCAAAAGGATCCACCGAATGATTAAAAACACGATCGTTGGGGCTTCGTTTTCATGTACTCCAAATAATGAAGTTTTAAAGCTTTTAATAAAAATAAAATTTACATTATGACAGTAGGTAGAAGATCCTACTAGTAGGATTCGTGGAAGCCTTAATGTGTTACAAACGAGATAATTGCACACGAAAACTACAGTAAAAGACTAGGTCACGATTCTTGGTATTTCCCTAATCCGGGATCTCAATGAAGATATATTTATTTTTCAACGAAATACTTATACATATTTATCGGATTCTACCGTATGGCGAACCGAACAACAAATTGTATATTCCCCCCCTTTTTTTTTTGTAAAAAATGTGGCATTTTATCTGAATCAGAAGCTGATAGAAAAACGGGGAAACTTCTGGCACGAAGCTGTTATTATTTGTAGTGTATAATTTATCTTCAATTGGCAGCAATCGTTTTGTATCTATTTTGTGGACGGTAAAAAAAACAGCATCATTATAAACCTGTTTCTTAGAAATTTACCGCAATTTATTTGCAATTCATAGTAATCGTATATTCGCTGTTACTTTTTTATTTATTTATACTTCTCGTAAAAAAAAACATTAGCGTTACAAGGTGTATGGTATTAGGTAAATCCACACTCACGTGAATCGTTATCCATCTATGCAAATAATCTGTTCGCAGTATTATAGTTAAAAAATAGTTTTACAACGAGGAAAAACCTATCGTTTAATTCATTATCGATGGAAATTAATCCGAACCGAAATGAGAGAATCAATTATTTTGAGGCTTATAAAGGTCGAAAAGTATATAGATATAAACGGAGATATATATACAGGATGTTTCAAAATCTCCAATTTTTTAAAAACAGATTTTCCTTTAAATTGATTATTTTATAATTATAGCCGCATTTGCAATTTTCGTATATTATATAAAATAAGATTGATTTTAATGAAATTCGATTTTAATTCTTACGAAATTCAGGTTCGAAATAAAACTGAACCACAAAAACTTCATTCATTGTATTAAATTCAAGTATACGTGAATTTTACTTTTCAAGATTAAAAAATTTGAGATTTAAGAATTTTTTCAATTATAATGACGATCTATATCTCACAAGATTTTTTCAAAAGAGAGAAAGAAAGGAAGATCTAATATTTTATGTTCAAAATATTATTGTAAATCGAATAGATAATTTTGATTTATTTAATGTTTTGTAACAAGGTATGCATAATTGGTACAAATGTTTAACTAATGTCGTAAATATGAAATGGTTTTTGGGTAGAAGATAATTTTGAAAAATCACTGAAAATCTTTAACATATCTCCGGATGTACTTTTTCTTTTCTATGTATTACGCCGCATTATTGTTTGGCTATATCTTAAGTAATCGTATGAAAATAGCATTAAGAACATGCGAAAATGATACGCTATCGGCGTGATTGATTACTATTATCTTTCATTCAAAAACTATTGAGTTTTTTCTTCGATCGGTGTTCGTTGTTACACCGTTCGAGAGCACCCTGTTAAACTTGAAAAATCTAATTCGCCGGTATCGCTGATAAACACGATAACCGGTAAGATATTAATACTCGTTAAACCGCATGCATTTAAACGCAAACAAATAACACGCTCGAGATTTTATCCAAATTCCGTGATTCTGACGGGTCTTTCTAAGATTTGCGACGACATTTCCTAAGAATGTTAAGACCGAGGCGACGATTGCAAAGGTACATAAGAAAGACGACCAAAATATTCATTTCTACATTAATGCAGATTAACTTAAATCTCGATTTAATTTACTTTTTATCTTTTTCTTCTTTTTAAAATCCATTAAATTTTATAATTCTGACGACTGGCGGATCTTTCTGACATTTGCGACGACATTCCTTATAAGAATGTTAAAGGCTGTAGCGATGATTACAGAGGTACAAAAAAGACGGCTAATGTCCATCTCTATATATTAATACAGATTAACTTAAATATCTCGATTTAATTTACCTTTTATCTTTTTCTGCTTCTTAGAATTCATTAAATATCATAATTCTGATGGATCTTTCTGATATTTGCGTTAACATTTCTTAAAAATGTTAAAGGTCGATGCGAGATGATTGCAGAGGTACACAAAAAACACGATTAAAACTTAAATTTCGGTTTAATTTACTTTTCATCTTTTTCTAATTCTTAGAACTCGAAAAAGATGAAAAGTAAGTTATAAACCGAGATTTAAATTAATCTACATTGGTAGAAATATAAACACAAAATCGTCAAGACTTAATCGCAGATTTGACTGATTAATTTTCTTTATCAATTACACATGCAAGTGTTGGACCAAAGATTCATCGCGCTGAGCCTC